CCCCTGCCCCGCCCACGCCGACTGCAGCAACAGTGTGGGCAGTTACCTTTGTCAGTGTGTGTCTGGCTATAGAGAGACGGGGGACGGCGCGTGTGTGGGTGAGTACTGTGTGTGTGTGGGGGTGTGTCAGTGTGTGTGTGTGTGTGTGAGAGAGAGAGAGAGAGAGAGAGGGAGAGTACTGTCTGTGTGTGTAAGTGTGTGTCCGGGTATAGACAGACGACTTACTGCGCGTGTGTGGGTGAGTACACGACACAGTACATTACTGTAGAAGCTGCTCTGACGGCCACCTGTATAAAACAGTCACCCGTGAGTCCACGACAAAAATTTAATAATTACTGTAAGACCTGCTCTGACGGCCACCCGTACCATCCCCTGTCTATTCTGTCGTTGTCCAGACATTGTCATTAAGAAAGCCTGCAAGATCACTGAATATGATTTTACTAGAATTGTTGAAATGTATAACACCACAAGTATAAAACAGATAAAAAAAAGCATTATAAACGACCCTTCACACTCACTTTCCACGCAAATTATCAGATCAAGCAGAGGCAAATAATATGTACTACTAAACTACTAAAAACACAAAAAAGATATATAAATGAAGTTTTATACCATCTACCATGAGGCTTTTGTCAGAATAGGCATCAATGTGTATTGCTCTTTAGAGTGTGTATCTGTATATATCCCAAACGGTTTTGTAATTAAATTCCTGCATGTGGTTGAATGATGCATCTGATGTGATATGTACATTTTGTAATCTTTACTTCTCTTTTCATATTGAATTTTAATGAGAGTAATATATAATAAAACATTTTATGTATACCTGCATTATATTGTGTTTTTACGGTCATGTACAGTCAAGGAAAATTTCTCTCTTGGATAATAAAGTATTATCTTATCTTATCCTGTCGTATCTTATCTTATCTTATCTTATCTTATCTTCCCCTGTCTATTCTGTCATTGACCAGACATTATCATTCTCCTGTCTATTCTGTCTTTGTCATTCCCCTTGGGAAGAACTCGAAAACTACACTGTAAGAGGCCAACTTCTTGATAACATATGAGCCATTTACGAAAACAGCGTAATAAGTACAGTAAGAACGTCAGAGGGACTCACAGAATGGGTCTGGATAACATCCAGAATAAGACAAGGTTGTGTCCTATCACCACTACTATTTATCATATACATGGATAGAATTACAAAAGAGGCCAACACAGAGCTAGACGTCCTAAATGAATTACTCTTCGCTGATGACCAAAGCCTGACACACAAAGATAAACGAAGTCT